CCTCCACCATTTCCACAAAAGACCAAACGCAATTATTGCAGTTACTTCAGGGGAGACGAAATGGCTTACACCTTCTGCTGCAGGCATTACCGTATTTTTGCCTAGTATTTGTTTTTTCTCCACTTGCACATTACAATAAATCTATTAAGCAATGTTCTCCTCTTTTTCGACACCGTCGTCTAAGGCGTATAGGTCTGCGTCAGAAGGTTTTAAAAAAATCAAGTATCTCCACATGTTTTCTGGGACATGCTTCCTTCTCAGCTGGGTTAGCTCTGATATACAGGCCCGAAGCAGCCCGCCTCCTAATTAATCTAAATTGTGTCGGTGGGGGAGTAAAACATCTATAATGACTTACGTGTATCATTTTCAGTCCTGTTGGCCATGTTTAATTTTGACGTGGTTTCTGTAACCTTTTCTCCCAAGATTTCATTGGCACCAGAATGGTGATCATCCTCCCCCCACTCCCCATACTCTCTTCAGAAGATAGAAGAATATGGACAGTCCGTTGTTCTACCAACAGTATCATTAGCATGCCCCGATCCTTTCTGTCACCGGGGTTGCATTTCTGCTCATTACTAACTGATATTAAAAATAGTTCCTTAGTCAATGTCTAATGAAAACCGAAGCATCTGCGAAAGAAAACGCTTTTTTTTCTTCGGGACGTAGCAAATACATTACTTCTGACTCGTAACAGACCAAAAGCAATGTTGTAGCACATTTCGAACCACCAAACATCAAATCAAAAACTGGAATTTGCAAACATGTATTTTGTAATATCCATGATGTTGTCTGCCTTTTTAAATTTTGAGAAAAAAAGAGACTGTATTGAAAAATTTGTATGAATATTTTTTAAGTGCCCCAAAACTGCTTTCGTGAATGACATAGGCGATATACATGTAGAATAATAATTTAAAAAAAGGTTAAGATGGCTCGTGGCTTGTGCTATGGCCAAAGAAACCAATTCTGGCAGAGAAGAGCTTGCCACACTTTGAGCATTCAAAAACGCCATCTCCACTCGTGGGTGTGTGCAGTTTGCCATGCATCGAAATAACATTTAGTGTGTATCTAGCTTACGATTATTATTGTTTATATTGCTGCTCATTTATATTATGCATGTGATTGTAAGCCTTCGTGTGTTCATGTGTGTGCGCATGTGCGCGCGCGCGCGCGCGCGTGCGTGTGTGTGTGTGTATGTGTGAGTGTGTGTGTGTGTGTGTGTGTGTGTGTGTGTGTGTGTGTGTACACGTGGTGAAACACCAAACCAGTGTGCCAGGATCTGGACAATAAAGATGTATCTTAAATTCTCTGCTGCCTTCACTTCTAATTCGTCATGGCTCATTTATACGTCATTTATCTTGTTCACTTACATGATGACGTGTCATCCGTGGGTCAAGAAAAAAGCAAACCCCTATAATCCATAGACTGGGACCAGTATTAAGACGTCATCATATTTGGGTTCTCTATATCTTATGGTTATTTTGTCCATAGCCACCCCCCCCTCCCCCCATTTTTCTATGTATCCTGCCAATCGAGAGACTAAAATAGGAAAAGAACTCTTCTCTTGGCACTTGGTTTGCTGTCGTAAGTTCTGCAGACTGGATGGTCATGGCATGACTTTTCTATGTCAAAAAGTATGTTTCTTCTTTGCGAGATCTCAGGGGTAGTCAACAGCAGATTCTTCAACCTGCAGTGCAACTGATTTTTTTCGCATGCGGCCTTTTTTCCTACTTCTTAGGGCTCCTTGCCTCTAGGCAGGCACATTCTGATTTTGAAAGTATTCGGTATTTTTTCCACTGAATTGAGCATTTTCAATTTCGGTCGGGATTTTACATGTATTCTGAATTTTGCCCAGGTGGCGGCCGAAGCTTAATCTTATCGATTTTAGGATCACCAAGGGATATCAAACATGCACAAGGTGCCTCCGATATTTTTAGCCATCTTCCGAGAAGGCTAGGTTTTCGATTTTACTTACTCCGAGAAAGCATAAAGAAAGAGCTAAAAGAAGCAGTAGAAAGAGTCAGGAGTAAAGAAGAGAGAAACTCAAATGAGGGGGGGGGGGGGGGGGGGGTGAAAGGGTTGAGAGAAAAGAAGATGACAGAACAGGACTAGAGAACATGGAAGGAGACCAAAGGGGAAAATGTCAAGTTCCGATTCCGGGACTTTTTTTTTTTACAGACAGGCAAACACCGTATCTCTGGACTTCACCTCCCCCCCCTTAAAAAAAAGAGAAAGTATTTGACTATATCTGGTCTTCGTGACCATGACACAGGCAATTTCCGACTGCCCAGTCAGCACCAGACTGGGCTACGATGAGGATGATCATGGTTTTTGAACTTGGGTTATTTGTGGGGAGGTTTCATGGCTCGATCTTTGTGGGGATAGGTAGTAGTATTATTAGGATTTTTTCTTCTTCTCTGCGTTCCCCTGCTTGACCTCAGGGGTAGTCGATTGCTGGTTATTCAATCTGTAGCGCAACTCATTGTTTTTACGTTTGTGACTGTTTTCCTAACTTCGTAAGGCTCCCTACCTTCAGGCAGGCACATTCCGATTTTGAAGTTACTCTATAGTTTTGAAAAATATTGACTAGTATATTTTCTATTTTGTAGGGAAATAATGTTGGATTTAGCGGGTGGCGGCCAAGCCTACTCTTATTGATTTTAGGACCGTTTCAGGATCTTTAATGTGTACGCCTTGCTCACCGTAGCTCCGAAATGTTTTGCCTTTTTTTGAGGAGGCTAGGTGTTTCATCCTACTTACCCTAAGATCGGGGATATTGCTGAAAGACAACAGTAAGAGGGAGCCAGGAAAAGCGTAGTACAATAGTAAAGAAGAGAGAAGGAGCCGGAGAGGGGGAGTTGATAGAGTGGAAATGTAAACAGATGACAGAACAGGGCAATAGGATGACAAAGATCAATCAAACAATATGTTTTTATCGCTGGCAGGGTTTTGACCCACAGATCTTTTGACTGAGAGGAGAACACGTACCTCTAGACCACGAAGAGCAGATCGCTCACTCTCTCACCTTCTCTTTCTTTTGTCTCCCACTTTGCGCTTATTTCTACTTTTTCAACTGTCAATATTATTATCGTTAATCGATATCATCTTTGGGTTCTTGCATCAACACAACACATGGGAAATAATAATAATAAAATAGAGTAGGTCTAATATTATTTTATTGGTTGAAATAAAGTACAAATAGAACGTGTGCAAGAATAACTATGTACAGTGGATGGTTTGCAGTTATTATAAAAATATATGAAATGGCAAAAAGTACAAAAAACAAAACGAAATGGGCCATCTCCTGTATATACACTATTACAGAAAAGCAAAGAGAGTTATCAAAGTTACTAAAATCATTTCCTTTTTTACAGAGGAGAATGGATGTTTTAATGTCTACTCCAGCGCTCTTTGAGAATGATTATGATTTAAGGATGTACGATCTGACGTCGATATTTGATTAGGCAGGTCTTTGAGGCAATCCACTACCAAGAATATTACGGTCAGAAAAATAAGGAAAGTGATAAGGAGAGCGTGATAGACAGATAGTCAGATAGATAGATAAATAGATAGATAGATAGATAGATAGATAGATAGATAGATAGATAGATAGATAGATAGATAGATAGATAGATAGATAGATAGATAGATAGATAGATAGAGAGATAGATAGAGAGATAGATAGAGAGAAAGAGAGTGAGGGAGAGATAGATAGATCGATAGATAGATAGATAGATAGATAGATAGATAGATCGATAGATCGATAGATAGATAGATAGATAGATAGATAGAGAGAGAGAGAGAGAGAGAGAGAGAGAGAGAGAGAGAGAGAGAGAGAGAGAGAGAGAGAGAGAGAGGGGGGGGGGAGAGAGAACGATTCATCATAACATCCCAATAATGTATTTTACTATCAAAGTAAGAAAAAAAAGCGAACAAAAAAGCAAATGTACAAGCGTCGTCATTTCTCTTTTTGGAGTCCATGTTTGTATTTGTATTTCCGAGATAATGCATTGTTGATTAATTAAGAAAAGAACCAAAACTTGTTTCCTTTTTTCTTCCTTTGCGAATAGGAATCTGTGGCGGTTTTGACAAGGCAAAGATCTAGAGACAGGCGTCTGCCATGAGATCGCGTGCCGTGACAACGTACAGAAGGTTCTACTATTCCATGACAAGCAGTTCGGGGCTCTCTATTGTGTCAGCAGACGACCAATCGATTGGCGGGAACAGAAGGATGCTTGGAGCGTCTTAGTGCACGCGAGGGCTTGCTTTCCATCAAACAAAAGACCATGTGTGTACGCCCGTACTTGAGGCCGCGTCGTTGTTACGTATCAATCATTGACCGATTCAACAAGCGAAATAAAGCATACATTAACAGATGTGTTACATGTAAACTATTTTGCCCCCAAACGCTTCAAAATTGATGTGAGAGCATGAGATCGTGATGAGAACAGAAACACCAGGAAGTAACGCACAATGCACGTCGTTATACTCTACTCTACGAGAGACTACCCCAAGTACATTGTCATCGCTAGGAACACGTTCAATATTACCCATTTCTCGTTTCAACCTGCCCGTTACAATCATTACAACCCCATTAGTCGCAAAAGAGTAGATCATTTATAAAGTTTATTTCTTGTAAGTCGAAAAGCCGTGAGACAAAAGCAAACTTGCACGGCTTTTTATGTCATCGATTAGATGCTGTCAGACAATCAGTGTTCCAAAAATGTCATAAAGTGGGAGCTTTTAGCATACAGTTAAGCAAACAAAGTACAGTGGCGAATGATTTAAATCATCCATGTTTTTCAAGGCTCAACGTGACGTCACCACGAGACGAGTCACAAGTTTCAGTTTTAAAGGGAATATTTAGCGTTCTGGACACGGCAAGATCTGGAGATGCAGGCATTTGCCATGTCATTGAGATCGCGTGTCTTGACAATGTACAGAAGGTTCTACTATTCCATGACAAGCAGATCGGGGCTCTCTATTGTGTCAGCAGACGACCAATCGATTTTTTTAGGGGGGGGGGGGGAGAAGGATGCTTGGGGCGTTTTAGTGCAGTGTACTTGAATAAGCATAGATGTGTGTTGCTCTTTAGAATATGTATCTACATAACTCCAAAGGTCTTGTAATTAAATTCCTGCATGTGGTTGAATGATTCATCTGATGTGATATGCACATTTTGTCAGCTTTGTTTCTCTTTTCATATTGAAATTTAATGAGAGTAATATATAATTTGAATCTTTATGTATACCTGCATGTGTTTGTACGGTCCTGTGCAGCCAAGAAAACTTTCCTTCTGGGATAATACAGTACATGTATTATCTTATCTTTTCTTATCTTACTAGAAGGCTTGCTTTTTTATCAACAGCACAATTACAGTTAGCATGTGCATGGGTGGTTGGTGAGCGCTTTTGTGTGGTCTATCCCTTCTTTCCTGTCAAGCATTTATCGTCACCATCTCTCCTCCTTCTTTTCTTTGTGTGTGACTTTCCAGTAACACCTCTAATAAAAACACCTATATGGTTTATTTGTGTTACGAAAAGCTGTAAAACTGTTACAAAAATATGCATATTAATATTATCATTAATTACAGCTACGTACTTTTAATCAACAACTTCAAAACAAGCCAAATAAAGCATACATTAACAAATGAATTAGGTACAAACTATTTTGTCCCCATAAATTATTGTTTCGCCTGTGAGCCAGGACTATATATTTATATCGAGAGATGGTGACATATACATGTATGTTTTATTTTAAAAAATATTTTGTTAATACAAATCGTCGCCATCATTCATCGTCATCGTATGTCAAAATACAAGCTTTTCACTGGAAGCAAAAATCTGTTTTATTTCTGGCAGAACTGTATCTTTATACAAAATATTTGATTTTTTGAAGTCCGTGGTTATTTTAAGAAGAGGCGTACGACTGGCACTAATCAAAGGGCCACATCAATCTTTACAGCATATTAATCAATTTGCACTTTGTCGAAATTATGACACACTGCAATGTAGAATGATGGCACCAAAGTTTGATAATCTTGTGAAACTGGCCCACAACTGTGACTGACGTTTCACTGACAGAACACTGATACCATATTCAACCGAAACTTTTTATAAGTTTGTCCTGAACATTTTGCCAGATTAAATCTTGTTACTGCACTCCAAGATAGCAGAAAAAAACCGTTTCAAGTAACAGCATTGAACAGTTTCCTAGATATATGTTAATTAAAACGATGAACCCCTGATACAATCCTGTTAAAAGTGCGCCCGAGATAATCTTTTTTTCCCAAAAAGTACAAAGGAAGATGTTGAGATGAGATATCAAAAGATTAGAAACCTGAGAAGACCGCAGTAACCAGTCAGTACCCTTAAAAAGTCCCAGCTAAACGATTGTAAAAAAATAATAACAAATTGAAGAACATTTTATTAAGGCTTCATAGCGCTCACATCAGTCATAAGACCAAACACTCCCCCCCCCCCCCCTCTCTCTCTCTCTCTCTCTCTCTCTCTCTCTCTCCCCTCTCTCTGTTTCTCTTTCGGTATCCATATTGCCTCTCTTCTACTCATACATCCTTTCCTCCCCATTTTCCTTTGCCAAATGGCACAGAAGCACATGTTAGTATAACGGTTTATTTCTGACCTTTGAAAAATATTTTTCTAGATGTGCTGGTATAAGATCACCCTTATAACAAATGCCAGTCTCCTCCTCATCTTTCTCCCACTTTTCTTCCTCTTCTTCACTTTCATCATTATCACGCACAATAGTCTAGCTTCTATTTAACACCATTAGCTTTGACACTAAAACGGCATCTTTGTCATCATCAGTAGCATCAACACAACCACCACAACTGTCACCACTCGTTGCAACTGAAGCCATAGTGGTAGCGTTGTGTCCCTTTAACTGCTTGTATGCCTATATAATATAATATGTTTTAGAGCATACCTGTATGTCAGTCTAATTTTACTCTGTGCTAAAGCATTGAGGAGGAGGAAGATCTGAAGTAGGAGGAGGAGGAGGAGTAGTAGGAGGAGGAGGAGTAGGAAGAGGATGAGAGGAAATTATACACAACACATTTGTAACGACGTGGAGGAATCCAGATCTCGTCAGTTTTTTGGGCATGTGGAGTCATTGGTATCATCTTAAAGTTTGTTCACTTGCCTTCCTTTTAGTGTAAAATATATCCATCTATGTTGAATAGAAGTCGAAATATTTGCGATTGAAGGTCAGGGTCGCCTGGTTTCAGAGGCGAATTTAGCGAGAAAATGGCCGTCAAAGTTGGGAAAATTCCATTGCTTGAAACTGAAAATTGACATTTTTTGTCTGTAATCAATGTTTTTCAGTAAAATCGAAACTGAAATGTGTTCTTAAGAACCTATAAAATGATGTGAAAAGTGTTAAGCCAAACAAGGAAAATTAGGGAAAAAATGCCCAACGGTCAGAAAAATACCAATTTCTTTGACTTCATTCTTTTGACGAGCGCCTGATTTCACCACAATGCCTCACACATTTCCAATAGCAAGAGGGATAAGAGTAATTCAAGCAAACTGATCACACAATCGCCCATTTTCTACCTAAAGCAAAGTATGTATGGGGTTATTTTCAGCACAATAGCTGAAATTAACTATAAAAAGGCAGGAACAGGTTGACGGGGAGGAAGAACTGTTTATAATTTATCGACGTAATTTCTGAAGTAAAGTACCTATTTGGGAGCTCTCGTGGCCTAAAGGTTAAGGTGTTCGCCTCTCATTTAATAGGTCCTGTGTTCGAATCCGGATAGCGACGGAAATTTTTATTTTCTAAATTATCTCCATCCACCTCCTTTCCTGCTGTCAAGCAACTTTCTGTCGTCTGCTTTCGTCTCCACTTTGTGGCCCAACCCACCTCGCCTCCTTTGTCCCTTCCTCTGGGCCCCTGACTCTTTCTGCAGCCTTTCTACTGCTTTTCATTTTCTCTTTCTTACTGCTGTCTTTCAGCCACACCCCTGATCTTCTGATAAGACACCTAGCCTTCTCGGACAAGGGAAAAAAATCTCGGAGGTCCCGTGTGCAAGTTGCGCACGTTAAAGATCCCTTGGTGGTACAAAATCGATACTAGTAGGCTTCGGCCGCCACTAGAGCAAAATTCAAAATTTCCTTCCAACGAAAATGTTTAATGTGTCCCGCACGCCCATATGACCTTATGCAGTTGCGAGCATCGTAAAACACTTACCCCCCCAAAAAAAAGAAAGTACCTCTTTGAGTGAGGCTGGTATGTTATAAATTGTCGGGACCCCCAGCCACAACGTCATATCTAAAACGAGTTATGAATAAAAGAGAGAGAAAGGTAACGGCAGTTTCGGATCGGTCCCTGTCAAAGAAGAAGAAAAGAAATAACACAGCCGTCACTACAAAATCATACCCACAGCGTTCACCCCATTTTGTTTGACCTGAAATCAATTTTTTTTGTCAGCCGATATCAACCCTCCAAGATCGGAACTTGTTAGCACGCTACCTGAAGGCAGGAACCCTGAATATAATAGGTAGTGGCAGTGTTAAGCACAGGGCAGGGGAGAAAATCAATGGCTTGATCCGATAGAAGGTGCGAGGCCCTAATACTACTCCGTTCTACCCCAATGGTCTCTGGAGTTCCTCACTGACCATTCTGTATAATACGTGCATGAATAATGCATTCTCCTTTGTGTAACGCGGCCATGATCAGGAGAGTTGGAGGTGTTATGTGAAGAATTCTCTTACTTCCCCCCCCACCCCCTGCCCATCTCTTCCCCCCCCCCTCTCTCTCTCTCTCTCTCTCTCTCTCTCTCTCTCTCTCTCTCTCTCTCTCTCTCTCTCTCTCTCTCTCTCTCCTTATTGCACACTTTCTCTTTCACATCCCTCTCTCTACAACTCATTCTCTCTCTCTCTCTCTCTCTCTCTCTCTCTCTCTCTCTCTCTCCCTCTCTCCCAGTTTCTTTTTTTTCTACCTCTCCTCACTCTCTCCGTGTTCTGTGAGTGTGTGTGTGTGTGTGTGTGTGTGTGTGTGTGTGTGTGTGTGTGTGTGTGTGTGTGTGTGCATGTGTGTGTTTGTGTGTGTGAGTGTGTGTGTGTGAGTGTGTGTGTGAGAGTGTGTGTGTGAGTGTGTGAGTGTGTGTGTGTGAGTGTGTGTGTGTGAATGTGTGTGTGTGTGTGTAATCAACACCTTCTCTGTCTTTCTAATTCAGTGTCTGTTTCTACATGTCTATCTGTATCTATTTTGGGTACTTAGTAGACACATATATTCGTGTATTTGCATATTATTGTTCCTTACATTCACAAGTAGTAGTAACGAAGCAAAATGGGAGGAAAAAATGCTTTCTGACAAAATCTTTGGCACGTCAGAGAAAAATGTAACCGAGTGAAGGGGATTTCGCCTATGGTTTCAATTTTTTTCGTCGATGAACTTTAACCCCCCCCCCCCGCCCCCCGCCCCTTAAAACATAGGCATGGTAAGGATAAATAATAATAATAATAATAAAGCCAAATGCTCTGAACTAAATGCAGAAAACCAAGACTTTGCACATCTCCTGCTGCTTGTTGCAGGGCTGCAACATATTATAGATCCTCGAAGGAACAAACAGACGTGCTAGGAACTGTAACAAAAGCTCATGGGAGAATACCAACCATTTGGTAGAATGCCAAGCTATATTGCCTTGGGGTGGGGGTGGGTGCACGAAGGTGTTCATTTAGTCAGATGGAATAAAAGAAGGCAATGCATTATTAGATGAGCCCCGCCGTGGCATTAATCGTCTATTTAATTAACTCTACTGAGCTGTTACGGGAGGCAGATGGAAAACTCCTATTTATAGATCCCAATACATTTGATTAATTTTATGGTTTCACATTCTGTGTGTGTAAGAGATAGGTCATCTAGAAATAATATTATGATTTCCAATCCCGGTAAAGGTCAATTTTGATTCATGGCTAGTCACATCGAAGTACAGTGTCGTGAAAAGCTTATTTTTTTTCCGAGGAGTCAAAAGCGCGCCAGAGGTTACTGAATAAAAGAAAAGGAATCACGTTAGGTTTAAGAAAAGCTCCAATAAAACAAGCAGTGCCTTTCAAAAGACGCTGGTTTTGTACAGATTAAAGTCAGTTCGGATTTTTCTTCATTGGCATGGGACCAGATTCTGTTCATATATTATTATCTTTTGAAAACTAAGTTAATGAGTTCTAGGATTTAGAAAAACAGTGTTATTCACAATACAGACCTTGTCCACAATCTATACTCCCCCCCCCAAAAAAAGAAGAAATTAACATGATTTTTCTTGTGAAATGGTATGTTATGTTTAACGTCCCTATCAACACCGTTAGGTTATTTAAAAGGTGGGACCTCCGAGTTTAACACCCATCTCAGAAAGGGCTGAGCCAAATCCCCAAGGACACAACGTCGCACCATACTGTGGCTCGAACCTCCGAACCCGCTCTCTCACGACTAAAGGACCGGTAGCCTAACCACTAGGCTAACAACGCCTTTTGCAGATGGGACAGGGCCTAAAAATTAACAATGATTAGTTACATCTCAAAGTACAATATAGTTTTTCAATTAGCAAACTGCATGTTGGCAAAAAGGGTCTATCTCGAAACAATTAGCGATTCTAGAAACATAGGCATGTTATGAAGCGTAATGCCAAATAATACAAACGGACAAGGAATCTAACTACAAGTGGTGGTGAGACAATTTAGAGGGAAAAAAGTCACCATATAAAATTCTGCACAACAAACGGAGATCTCTTATCTCTTTAAAAAAGTGTTTCAATTCTCCGATGGATTTCTTTTCTTCTGAAAAGATGCATTTCTCAAGATTCCAAATAATATACCTATTTGGAGTGTGTACGCCGCGCAGGGCTTTACACAAAAGTGCTGGCATCCTTTGGTCCAGATGCGGCGCTGTTGTCAGATCTGCCCCCAGTCGAGCCTTGAACAGCAGACCATCTGTCACCGCTCTGTCGGTGCTCTAACTCCTCCACCACGTCCCTGCATTGTTCGTGGTCGTGGGAATGGTCGTGTGAGCGGTCGTGTGAGCGGTCGTGTGAGCGGTCGTGTGAGCGGTCGTGACGTCCCGCCCCCCTGTCATCACGGCGCTGGGGGGCGTGGCCGTGTCTTGAGCTGTCACTCCGTGCCCCAGCTCCCCGAGGAGCGGATGTCTGGAAGCAATCGGAAATTGGAACAATCTTTACACTTAGTGAGCCGCTTGTTTGCAGCTGCTTTGCTAAAGACTTTATAATATACCTTCTTTGTATCAGGACGAGTATTTTTAAAATCTACACTTGACGGCAGAAAAGATATCAAAACATTAAAACACACAATAAAACGTTTATTATCGTCTTCCAGCATCTAAAAATAATGTGACCTTTATACTGACCCCCCCCCCCTTCCCAACCACCACCATTAACAATAATAAACAAACATCAAAACACCCCAAGAAAACAAACAAACAAAACAAACAACAACAGCAACCACAACAACAACAAACAAACAAAAATAAGCCCCCCACAACAACAAATCAAGGTCATGCTCATAAATGTGCCCGAACTACAACAGGGAACTGCTGCCTTTTCTTTCCTCATCCTTACTATCGTCATTTTTCCTCTACTTTTTTGTATGTTCGTCACTCTTGTGACTCGTTTTTTCCGGGGTGCCTTAATAGTGGTCGCAGACTTTATGCTGTTGAAGCTAGAGAGGTGAGCAGAGTAAGTCTGATTCCTTGTAAGGACTTCTCTGTTGACATCCACCCCTGGGCGCTCATATGACCTTATGCAGTTGCGAGCACCGTAAAACCTCTACTAAAACAAGAAAAGAAACAACATTTATTTACAGCAGCTCCCCGAGAATGAGGTTCCAAAATAGTAAAATTGCCTTCTCTATTTAGCAGGACTTTTTATACCCAAAACAATACAAACTCAAGTAACAAATAATACATCTATCAAGCTAAAACAAAGAAAAAAACATAATAATCGAAAATACACCAATTTTTCTTGAATGGGTATCAAAGATCGTACATAACAAGATTGTTATGCCAAAAAAGCCACACAAAAAAGTGTTCGCGGAAGTCTGCGCGTTGCTTCAGATGGCGCTGCAGTTGCTGTTTAGAAACATTGGAATAGCACAACTTTGTTATTTTCACCCAAGACTGGTTTCACTTGTATTGTTTATCACACAAGTAGGGTAACTCTGTTCGCAAAGCGGGCGTTTTTTCGAAGAGGGCGCCACCGGATTTTGAGGAAAGTTTTTTAATTGGCTGAAAGAAAGGAGTGAACTATGTTGTTATGTACGATCTTTGTGGGTATCTTATCTGGCAGATGATATTCGGAGACGTCTCCGGCGAACACCCAGAAACTGCTCGGAGACACTCCCGCATACAGATGCTCTGCTTTAGGCGGTCAAAATGAGTATTATTTGGTGCAGATCACACATATAACCACTAAAACTGTCGCAAATCAATTATTTTAAGGAAAATTAAAAAACTTGATTGCAAAATATCAAATTATGGGTTAAAATGCCCCCCCCCCCCCGATAGTTTTACATTTTTACTTGGTCTAGAGGCACAAAGAATTTTGATTGGTCTATCTCCGTCGGCGACATCTCCGGATAAATACTGCGATCTTATCTAACCAACCTCGGAACCGTATTCTTCGTAGTCATGAGCAGACCCGGTGCGGGATGGATCCTCTTCTCCCCGATAGTAATCGTGTCCATCCTGCATCCTGTCATCATAATCGCGCCTTGGGTTATCATCAAGGTTGTAACCATCTTGGCCGTAGTAATCACCACCATATTGGTCTCTATCGTAATCGTTGTAGCGATTGTGGTCGTCTCGGTCAGTTTCGTCTCGGAAGTATCGTCTGTCATCATAGCCTTCACTTCGGTAGTCGTTTCTGAAAAGGGATAGATATTTTGTGAAAATAATACGATTAAATGCAAATCAAAATGTTTAGAGTATAGCAGGAAGTAACTTCTCACCTGTAACTTCTTCCCACTAATAATAAAAACCCAAACCAAACAACAGCACCAACAAAGCATCCCCAACAGAAAAAAACCCAAAGCACGACAACCCCTACCCCCGCCTCATACCAAAGTTAAGACAAGAAACATCCCCCCCCCACCAAAAAAAAAAAAAAAAAAAAAAAAAAAAAAAAAAAAAAAAGTTGTGTTGAATTTGAGTTCATTGAGTTCAAATTGCTGAAAATCTTTTCAAAGGTTAAGTGCAAATTCTTGTGTTAACTTCCAGGCTCCCTTCCCTTAATTGACCCCCCCCCCCACTCCCGTCTGTCTGTCTGTCTGTCTCTCTGTCTGTCCGTCTGTCTCATCCCCCCTCCCCCTCTCCCCCTTTATCCTCTCTTCAATAGCTATGAGTCTTCTAAAATCATTGTAACCAATAGGAATCACGCAACTAAACAGAATGAAAGTATTTGATTCTACGTTGAACGATGTAGGAAAATTAACTAAAATTGTTAAAGGGGGGGGGGGGGGGGGGGTTACACCTTAAGGCTATCTCGCTTATAACTACACAAAATTTTATCAAATTTCACACGTGTACCAAGCATAGTAAGGAGTCTTAAAATCCGCAATCAAATTTGAGAAAAAGTTTCGTTTCCATGGATACGGCGGCCATATTGGATTTTGTTGACATGTCTTACGTAACGGATACCGCATTTATTGCTCGTGGAAATTGGTTGATTTTTTCGCATGCGTGTTAACAAACATTAGATCTAAAAAATTATTAGTTGTTTTTTTCTTAAACGAATTAGAACATTTTTAATGAATATTTTCCTGAGGTAGCATTCAAGTTTGTAAAAAATCCGTGAAAATCCACACTCTAGACACCACCCAAAAAAATAAATCTATTCCATATATAAAAAATTCAACAAACGAATTTTTAGTATTACATCTTCTCTTCATTCTGTGAAAATTCTATGAAGAATGGATGAAAAATGGTGGAGTTATTAATAAGGTATAGATCTAGGGAAAAGTCGCGTTTTGAGAAAACGGACGATAAAGAAAAATAAAATATTGACTTTATGAGGAAATGGTGGTGATAAACATGCCCGGGACGGTTTTTGGGGGTTCTTATGAGATGAAATAGTTGTAGGACAGGCTGAGGAAGCTAAAAATGCCTACAAACTCAAATTCCATAATTTTGAGCCGAATCTTGACTTTGGGAGTGTAGACCCCCCCCCCCCCCTAACAAAAACACTTGGGATCTGGGTTTAAGTCACTAAGTGGTTTAATTCCTTTTTCATTATGGCGGGCCCACGAGTAGAGAGTTCTCTTGATTATGAGTGATTTCCCTTTGGACACTTGCTCTCGATTTTGGGACGTAAACACTCAAGTAAAACCGTGGATGTGTGTGTGTGTGTGTGTGTGTGTGTGTGTGTGTGTGTGTGTGTGTGTGTGTGTGTGTGTGTGTGTGTGTGTGTGTGTGTGTGTGTGTGTGTGTGTGTGTGTACGTGTGTGTATGTGGGGTGGGGGGTATTTGCGTGCATGCTTAGGCGCGTGTGTATGAGTTTATTATGATTGTGTGTATATGAGTGAGAGCCTGCGTATGCATGGTGGGGAGAGAGAGAGAGAGAGAGAGAGAGAGAGAGAGAGAGAGAGAGAGAGAGAGAGAGAGAGAGAGAGAGAGAGAGAGAGGGGGAGATGTAGACATACAGACAGCCAGACAGGAAACCAGGAAGATAGAAAAACAGCCAGACAGACGGACCGATAAGCATTCCTGAAAACACCATATTGATAAATTGACATAAGAAGGTAATTGGTCCTTAGAAAGATAGAAAAAGAGACTAACATATTGAACTATAAACGAATGGATAAATTCTTTTCTATGTTAATTTTCTTTTTTTACTTTACCTCTCATTGCCCCATTCATCCCGGTAATAGTCGTCAGCGTTGGTATCGTCAGGATAATCAGTCGTGCCTCTGTAATCGAGACCAGCTTTCCCCTCATAATCATACGTATGGTTATCGTAGTTCTGGCCCGTATAGTAGTCGCTGGCCTCCGCTCCCATCGTCTTTCTTTGTCCACTATCTGAATATTCATCGTTCCTGCAGGTTTGGACGGGACAACACAAGACCATGTTTTTTACAAACGCTTGAAAAGGGGCTATAGGAAACAATTCTTTCACGGTTGGGAACAGACAATTACTTTTTTTAAAAATTGAGTTTGTTTTTCATGTACAAATGGAAAGAGACCTTAGGTAGAAACAATAATATTTATATACCGTTGAAACAATTGTTGAGACGATTGGAAGAAGCTATAGTTTGTTACTTAGAAAAAGAAAAATTAGGAGTAGGAGTCAACGGGCTTTCTTTCCTCAGTTGAAAAGTGGCAAATAGGAAGCGACGTTAACGACGTTCTCTTATTACATTATTTGAAAGAGGTCATGAGGCCAAACAATGGGAAACACTGGCATGAGCAAAAATGCCACATTCTCACATTTTCTTTGATTTCCTTTTTTCATCACACAACACCAGCCCCCCCCCCACACAAAAAAACCCACACTGAACTACAAACATTTAAAAAATCGAGCTACAAACGCAGGGCTAGACTTGACAACTAACAGTTTGGCTTGATGGCGTCAGAGGTCCTACACAACAGAATAACACAATAATGTCTACAACTACAACAAAATTCACCACTTAGCCGTTGACCAAAAAATTGCACCTCCACTCGGCATCTAACGACATAAGAGGTAAACAATAAACTGACAGCAAGGGTGAGTGTCTTATGGTGGTGTATAATATCAATAATATCAGTTTTAGGCCGGTTTCATCACAAGTTTTGAGTCTTTTATATTTTTGGGACTTTCCAAGTCTAACGTGCATTTTTAATAAGACCAACCAAGTGGATGGAGAGCGGAACAAACTATGGCAAGAGGCAAAATTCCAAAGCATATCCTGCTGAAATTAGAAACAAGTTTGCCCATACCACAGGAAACAACAAGGGTTCAGCTTTTCGATTGAACTAAATGTGTGTGCTTAGGTGACAGATTCTTTCATTGAATACTGAAATTTTATAGAAACAACAAATCAAGCATATTATTATTTGTGGATTCGTGATGTAATCAGGTGTTCGTCAAAGTAATGAAATCGAAGAAAGTGACACTTTTTACCCCGCTCGTTGGGCAATTTTTATCGAATTAATTTTGGGCGCATCACCTTCAATTCCCATTTTAAAACATATTTCGGTGTGGATTTTATTGAACGAGGTTGATCAAAGAGAAATTTGCAGTTTTCAAAGACTCTCAAACTTTGGATTTTACTTCTAACATCAAGCGACGCCATTTACTTCAATTACTAATATCTCGCCATGTAGGAAAGATAGATAGATGGTAAGACAAATAGACAAGCTCTTAGATGATTGCAATGGCTCCAAATGCCCAAAAGTATACAAGCGTCTGATTACAAAATGTCGTACCACATATTATTATTCTCCCTTCATCAGCACACACACACACACACACACACACACACACACACACACACACACACACACACACACACCCCACACACACACACAGGCACGTATACACACATGCGCACGTACAAACACACACACACACACACACACACACACACACACACAAAGACACAGACACCACACACACACACGCATACACCGCCCACCCCTCCTTCACGCACAGCGTACTTTTCAAAAACACAAACTTGACACACAACAAAACAAAACCTACTCCTTTGGGCTTCCATAGTAGTCGTTAGAGTATCCCAGGGGCTCGGGTCCAAAGTCTTTGGAGGCTCTCGGGAACTCTGTCTTATCTGTGGAGGGAAATCCTGGAGTCTCAGCGTGTTTCCATAGTAGGTCTAATAACACCTGCAATACAAACTGACTTATTCCTATCTGTCTATCTATCTATCTATCTATCTATCTATCTATCTATCTATCTATCTATCTATCTATCTATCTATCTATCTATCTATCTATCTATCTATCTTAAAGGAGCAGTTTAATGAAACATCCACAACTAAAAAAAGCAACGGAATTTTACACAGAAGAAAAGAGATATGAAATATTAATTATGCGCGATAAGGAGGAAGTGCAGACTGCAGTCTCATAAAAATCCACAAAACCATACCAAGGAAAACAGTATGAAAGTCCGCTCTGTCTGCATGTAAGTCTGTTTGTCAGTTTGTCTGTCTGTTTGTCTGTCTGTCTGCCTGTCTGTCTGTCTGCCTGCCTGTCTGTCTGTCTAAAACGTTAAACTTCTTATAAATAACAAACTGCAGCAATTCACATGGCAGGGGTAGATTGACATACGGAAGGGGTACATTAAAAGGAAGAAACGCACATTCGTACTGCCTTGTACTCATTATACTCTCAAATGTACTGCCAGGGAGACAAATAGATCAAACGGACAACAAATGTGTTTGTGTGTGCACGCGTGCGCGCGTGTGTGGAGGAGGGGGGGGAGGGGGGATACTGAATGGAAACAGAAAAAAACAAAAATAACTGAGCTGGCAAACTCACAAGAACAAGACCCAGCGAACGTTTGCATGATGAATGGAGTTGTTTGATAAAGATAAACAAACAAGCAAATAAACAAACGGTGCATAGAAATGACAAGAAATAGGTCCAGTAACGCATTGTTCTACTACCGAAGCACTGGAAAGTATCGCTACCGAAGCACTGGATAGAGGCGTAGAGATCAAAGTAGTATAGAGAAATAATAGTACTGGAAACATGTCGTGCGAAACAACTATACTGTCTTAAATACGTCTTACTGTGTAATCTTACTGCGTAAAATACCAGAGCATATATCGCTACCGAAGCACTGAATAGAGGCGAAGAAATCAGAAATAACAAAAGTAGTATAGGTGACTAATAAAACCGAAAACATGCAATGCGAAAGAACTGCTGCCGTAAATACGTCTTACTGTGTAAAGTACCAGTGTAGGAATCGCTACCGAAGCACTGAATGGAGGCAAAGAGATCAAAGTAGGATAGAGAAAAAAACAATACTAGAAACAAGCAGTGCAAGACATCTATACTCTTGTAAATACGTCTTACTGCGCAAAATACCGATGCATTCATGGCCTACGAAGCACCGAATAGATCTAGAGGCGAAAAAATCAAAGTAAGATAGTGAAGTAACAATACAAGAAATATGCAGAGCAAAAGAACTATTTCCGTAAATACGGATTACTGTGTAAATAACCAGTGCATGTATCGCTTCCGAAGCACTGAATAGAGTCGAAGAGATCAAAGTAGTATAGCGAAGTAAAACTACTGAAAATAAGCAGTGCAAAAGAACTGTTTTAAATGCGTCTTACTATGTCAAGTACCAGTATGAGTGTCGCTATCGAAGCACTGAATAGAGTTGAAGGGAAAAAGGAAGGATGTTGAGAGGGGAAGAGATCAAAGTCGCAGAAGCGAAGTAACAAAACTGAAAACGTGCAGTACAAAAGAACTACTGCTGTAAATACGTCTTACTATGTAAAGTACCAGTGTATGTATCGTCCCCGTTTCGGAAGGTCCGAACTTCCCCAGAGCTGGACTTGAAGCGGAATCCTTTGCGGTAGCAGGCCATGAAGACGACGACGAGGGCGATGGTGAAGAGAATGGAGAAGATCATGGCCAGGAACCAGCCCAGGTTCTCCGACACGTCGTAGGCTGCGGCTGTGCAGATACGGTTAGTGTTAGAGAGCAGGTTGCTATTTTTTGGCTAACCCGTATCAATGGTAAGGTCGGTGGGGAAAATAACAACCCCATCACCCCCACCTCCACCCCCAACAACCCCCACCCAAAACCAAAGTAACAAGCTTTAACCCTCATATGGACTAACCCCACCCCCACCCCACACACACACACACTCTGTGCTCATATGGACGACGCCCCCCCTCCCCGTTCTCCATCAAACACTCACTTGCTCAAACTCATCTCAATAATCAGACACCATCCGAATCCTCTCAACGGGCTGATATCAGTTTCCAGGGTAGGCGTGGATGGCTTTGGGAAAATTGACACACACCGATATTTGATGAGAATTAATCCAATATCGCCTCCCCGGTGTCCAGAACCCAAATTTCCGATGCTTCTATCTCGTAAAAAAAGCCTTCAGTGTGTTAGCTTGAAGCCAAACATGCAGCAACAACCAGTTTACTCTGAAACAGTTAGCTGTGTGTAATCTTAAGTCCCCCCCCCCCCAGGAGCAAGGTCTAGAGGGCCGGAATCGAGGGAAAGGAGACATCAGAGGACAAAGTATCCATGTCCCAAACTCGTAGTTTTCATAGTCTTTAAACAGTGATGACCTCCCCCCTCAACGCACCCCCCCCTTCGCAGCTCCCCAGACTCTCTTTCTTCAAACTTTATAGGCCTACGTACAGGCAGGGCTCTCGTGGTCTAGAGGTTACGGTGTTTGCCTCTCTTTCAATAGGTCCCGTTTTCGAAACTTGACAACGACGGGAATTTTATTCTAAAAAAATTACCACTTTCACCTCCTTTCCTGCTCTCTAACCATATTATTATATCGTCTGCTTTTGTCTCCAAAATTTGCCCCTTCTCCTCCCCTTTGCACCTCTTCTGGGTGCCTGACTCTTTCTACTGCTACTCCTTTGCTCCTTCTTACTGCTGTCTTTCAGCCACACCCCTGATCTTACGGTGGTAAGAACTACACCTAGCTTTCTCGGATAAGGGCAAAAAATCTCGGAGGTCCCATACGCGAGTTGAGTACGTTAACGATGTCTCGGTGGTTCTAAAAGCGATAAGAGCAGGTTTCGGCCACCCGGGAAAAAATTAAAAACATAATAGATCTATGACCTTATGCAGTTGAGAGCGCTGTAAAACACTTACCAAAACTAAACAATACTCAAGCCTTTTCCCGGAGCCCAGGCTTATAAAGTGTCTTTAAAAAAAAGTGATTTACGGGGCTCGCAAATGCATAAGGTCATATAAGCGCGCGGCACATACCTTATATTTTCAGTTGGTACGAAATTTTGAATTTTGCCCTGGTGGCAGCCGAAACCTACTCTTATCGATTTTAGACCACCAAAGAATCTTTACCGTTCGCAACTTGCACACAGCCCTGGCCCTCCGAGCTTTTTCGCCCTTGTTCGAACAATGCGGGTCTGGCAGATCGTAACTGTGCTTTATTTTTATATCAAATTGTAAGAGCTAAGGTTTAGGTTGAGTTGATTTTCTTCTCGTTCAGTAAGGTCGGGTTTAAGTAAGGGTTAGGGTAAGGGTTTCAGTGTTATCCGAATTGTAACATATCATTCAATTTCCGAGGCTCTAGGTTTACAGTATTTGGAGTTAGCGCCATTAGTTCACGATATCAGGCAATGTTTCTAGCAGTATATATTTTAATTGGTTCATCCGAGGTAGACAACGGTCAAAGAACAAAGACTAAACCGTTAGCTCCTCCGATGTAGTTAAAGGTCAAAGAAATGAAATCAAAGTGTTGTCTCCTTCGTTGTGGAGCCAAACCGAGGCCCACAGCAACACAAAGATTCCCCTACCCAACTCAACAACTCCCCTCACCATTAATGACAACGAGTATCAATTTGTAACATTACTCTACAAATAAAACAAACAAACGCACACACACACTCACACAGAGTCACACACATACACACACGCACACACACACACACACACACAAACATACACACGCAGAGGCACCAGCACGAAAACGCACCCAAATACATGTAAAGTGAAAAACAATACTGTGTTTTTAGAATTGGACCGCCACAAGCTTATATGAAACT